GGTCAATATTTACAGTCCATGAGAACTTAACAGCGTTGTCTTTTTCAGCTACTTGCGTGCAATCAAATGCAGTGTTAATCTACTTAGTTCTTTTTTATGACTATCAAATTGAAAATCGTTTTTCAAAAGATTTTTAGAGCTTCCCGTAATGTGCCCCTTGTAAAACAAGCTAAATTAGCAAATACTTTTGTGTGCCTACACTCGCGGCTAGCTTGTTTTCAGCGTTCCAACGTGCGAAACTACGCTGCACGTTTCGGTGTCTCAGCGACGCACTTTTGTAATGCCGCCAAAAAAATTTTATCACAAGAAACGGCAAAGGATATGCTTTAAAATAGTGTTTGTTTCATGTTGAAATTCCATGTATCAGTTGTTTTTTTCGATGGTAAAGTTAGGTCAAATTTGCCATTTTTGAAAAGAGCCGAAATCGTGTTTCTTCTTGCGGCCAACACAGTCACATTTAAACAGCTTGTCTAAAGATAATTGCAGAATTATAAAGTACAAGTCTGTGTTTTCCTTGTGACTTCATTTCATTTAGAGATATCATCCCATTTTTATGTACGAGAGCGAAGAAAATGCTTAATTTTCGCTAATTTCATACTCGAAAGAGCGCCGATTTGGCGTTTTTTAAACTTTGCCCGATTCAGGAAAAAATAAAAAGCCGTTACAAGTTTTGATGTGATTTTTGAAATAAGTGTACTATAGAGATTATGTGGGCAAAATATGAAGAAATTCAAAAATTCACGACTGTCAACCGATTCTCGAAAATTACAGACATTGGCTCTTAAACCGCCCGTTTGCATGTTTTACTCGTTTTTACAGTTTTACTCGTTTCCATTTCCCTGCTCTACCTTCATGTTGCATATGGCATACGTGTGTACCTAAATCCCTCAATTCATTAAAGAAGTCTATACGCTAAGCGGGTTAAAGATTAGTTTATTACAAGCAAAGGCACAGAAGGCTTAGTGCAAATAAAAGAAAACTAGTGTGAAAAGTTTTGCATACTCGGCTTACTCTATTTGTTTTCTTTCTCTATTTGAGTTTCGGCTGGTGACATCTTAAAATCAAGTTTAGTTCGACATGTTTTGGGAATATAAAATATAAAACTAAAAAAAACAGTGTTAATTGTACACTCGTGCGATGATTTATCCTTGTCTGTACAGTTGCGTGACCAGGCTCAAATTACACACGGGCTTTCATCACGCATCACAGCGTTTAGTCCGAGGCTAAACGAGGAAAGATTTCAGCAAACTGCGGCCACTTGCGGTTGAAACGACTGTGGTAAGTAATTCTTAGAGATGTCGAATCCCATTTAGAGCTAGCACGCCGTTTCTAGCGGCTTTATTTTAGGTGCAGAAACTCGAGGTCAATATTTACAGTCCATGAGAACTTAACAGCGTTGTCTTTTTCAGCTACTTGCGTGCAATCAAATGCAGTGTTAATCTACTTAGTTCTTTTTTATGACTATCAAATTGAAAATCGTTTTTCAAAAGATTTTTAGAGCTTCCCGTAATGTGCCCCTTGTAAAACAAGCTAAATTAGCAAATACTTTTGTGTGCCTACACTCGCGGCTAGCTTGTTTTCAGCGTTCCAACGTGCGAAACTACGCTGCACGTTTCGGTGTCTCAGCGACGCACTTTTGTAATGCCGCCAAAAAAATTTTATCACAAGAAACGGCAAAGGATATGCTTTAAAATAGTGTTTGTTTCATGTTGAAATTCCATGTATCAGTTGTTTTTTCCGATGGTAAAGTTAGGTCAAATTTGCCATTTTTGAAAAGAGCCGAAATCGTGTTTCTTCTTGCGGCCAACACAGTCACATTTAAACAGCTTGTCTAAAGATAATTGCAGAATTATAAAGTACAAGTCTGTGTTTTCCTTGTGACTTCATTTCATTTAGAGATATCATCCCATTTTTATGTACGAGAGCGAAGAAAATGCTTAATTTTCGCTAATTTCATACTCGAAAGAGCGCCGATTTGGCGTTTTTTAAACTTTGCCCGATTCAGGAAAAAATAAAAAGCCGTTACAAGTTTTGATGTGATTTTTGAAATAAGTGTACTATAGAGATTATGTGGGCAAAATATGAAGAAATTCAAAAATTCACGACTGTCAACCGATTCTCGAAAATTACAGACATTGGCTCTTAAAACGTTCGTCTCAAGAGTGTATTTAGAGAAACTGATATGATAGTCTTAAATATAAACCCAGTTTTAAAAGCCAGCCGACTACAAAACAGATTCCAAAACAATTGCAATAGTTTCCCTTATTTGACCGTAAGACATTTAGCAGAAAAACCGTCAATTCCAGTATTTTCAGTAATTTAAACCGCCCGTTTGCATGACGTAAATGCAAATACAATCGCGTGATAATTACCGCTTTACACTTGACAAACTTCAAGTGCAATTTCTCTCAAGGTTTGTTTCAATTCAAAGTCTCGTTTTCATGCCAGTGTAAGGGACCGGTCATTATTTAGCGGGGGGGTTGGGCTACTATTTTTGGGGGGAGGGTCATAATTTTTTTCAAGCCTTCAAGGGGAGGGTCACAATTTTTTTCAAGCCTTCAGGGGGAGGGTGGTCATATTTTCTTTAATGGTTGAACATTATTTAGAACAGCCCACCATATGACTTTTTTGGCACTCAAAAATCATTCTAAGCGAACTTATAGGTTCAGAAGAGGGGATTTTTTTCCGGTTCGCGCTACGTGCTCGCCATGATTATGCTTTGCTTTAAAATCACACATCATCGAAGCGAACTTGACATTGATGGTTCAAGAAAAAGGAAAAATTTTTTCCGGCTCGCGCTCCGCGCTCGCCATGATTATATTCTGCCTAATCACACTTTCGAAGAAAACTTGACGGTTCAAGAAAAAGGATTTTTTTTTTCCGTTCGCGCTACGCGCTCACCATGATAATTTTGTGTCTAATCAACACTCTGAGCGAACTTCTTCGCTAACAATAAAAAAGGATTTTTTTTTCCGGCTTGCGCTACGCGCTCGCCTTGATTATTTTCTGCTTATATTACACACTTTGAAAAGGATTTTTTTTGCTAGAGTTCGATCTAACTTTTTATTAACGCTCTGAAGCTGGTAGCTTTCAGGAAACAGATTTCATTACGGCCTCGCGCGCCATCCTTAGTTATGACTCTGTTGATCATGAGGGGCCTTCACTTGAAAAAACTGGCCAAAAAATATCATCAAACACATACAGAACGAATGGCTGTGAATGGTCAGCCTCCTTTGCTTGAGAGTGAAGAAATACTGCTTTTCAACTTTTCCAGAAGATGCAAAATAGTTGCTGGAGGGAGCACATCTTCTTGTAAAAAATATTGTTTTTGTTAAAGAAAATTAGATGAAAATAAAAAAAAGGGATAGGGGGAGGGTCACAATTTTTTTCACTCTTCGCCGGGGGAAGGTCATAATTTTTTTTGTCATGTTGAAGGGGAGGGTCATATTTTTTTCCAACCACTTTTCGAAAAAATAGTAGCCCTCCCCCCCCCCGGTAAATAATGACCGGTCCCTAAGTAAACCCTAAGTAAAGAGCTCTGAATCGCAGTAATTTTCATCGGCCTGGTGCATTGATAAGCAGCATTAATTTTTCTTTTGTTTTTCTGCAAGCAAGACATGTTTGTTGGTGACTTGTAGTCTTAGCAATTTTATGATGTCTGTGCTACTCTCACAAATGAGAAAACAAATTTCTGTTGTCCTCAACTTCTTTCAGAATAGTAGTTACATGACCTGTTTCAACAGTTATCACAAAGTTTATCTAGCTGCTTTCATTAACAGCACTATTTGAACCATTTAATATGTTCCGTTTTTCAGTTGACTACCTTTCAAGAGCCACTAGCTTCAGGAATCTATGTTCTGCCTGTTTTCATTTACAATTTCCCTGTTTCATACAGCTCGTCTCAGCAATATTTTCAGTAATTTAAACCGCCCGTTTGCATGACGTAAATGGAAATACCTTAAATCCTCTATTTAGTCCCCCCCTCTCAAATAAGCCCCCCCTTTTCAGAGGAGGAAAGTTAATAAGCCCCCCTCCCCGTCCCCCAATCCTTATTCTTCACAAAAAAAGATGATTAACGTGGACGGATCAGTTATGGTTTATTCAGGCTGAAAGTTCATATTGTTTTTGGTCTTTGGCCGCATGACCACCAACTTCATATGCTTAACTTTCTCAACTTTGCGCTCTAGTTCTCTGCGGAGAACATTTTTGAAAAATAAGAATTTTGTTTTTGTTAATTGTGGGCTCCCACAAGTGAAATAAATACTTTTGACAGTGACTTTAACTGTACAACGCGTAAGTGTACTCTGTCTCATACCACGGTATTTTTGCTACAGGTGGTGCGTTTTGCTAAATTAAATAATCCCTCTCTCTCTTTTAAGCCCTCCCTCTCTATTAAGCCCCCTCAAAAGTGCTTGAAAAAAATAAGCCCCCCGGGGGGCTTAATAGAGGATTTACGGTACCTGAATCGCGTGATAATTACCGCTTTACGCTTGACAAACTTGCTTGTTTGCTCGACCCCCAAATTCTCAGACAGGGTGTTAACTGCAAAAAAATTTCAGAAATGATCATTCTGTTTGATTCTAGGAAAGACGATAAGGAAATTTAAATGCGACCGATGAGTTTTACACTGATAAAATGCCAAATATAGCCCCTATTTTATTCAGTAATTTTTGTGGGATTTCGATGGAATGATAGTTTTATGTAGAAAAACAGACTGCAATCATTCGAGAGTGACTTGTTTACATCTACAATTTTACTGTAATATACAGTTCGATCGTCTCAGTAGCCTGAGTGCGTTCAGAGAAACTAAACTGCTAGTCTTAAATGCTCCTGTCCAATTTTAGTACGAGCCAGTCGACTGCAAAGTAAAGTGTTTATCCCAAAATAGTATCTCTTATCTGACTACAAGACAAAGTAGACAGACTGCTAATTATCTTAGTTGCTAAAAGATATCTACGTGTCGCAACTGTTCATCAGTAGGATGCCTAAAATGCGTGCAATTCCACAATTGGTTTCGGCTCCATTATATTTAGCAGTAGCAGAATTTTAAGATTTTCAGTAATTTGAACCACCCGTTTGCATGACATAAATGCAAATACAATCGCGTGATAATTACCGCTTTACACTTGACAAACTTGCTATTAGTCTGAAGGTTTGTTTCAATTCAAAGCGTGGTTTTCATCCCACTGTAAGTAAAGAGCTCTAGCTTTCTGTTCATTTTAAAGTTTAGATTTTCAATCTTTTATTAACCATCGAAATGGATTACCATAATAGTTTATGAAGATCAATTGCCTCTATAGCCTGTCTTTATCTCCTTAATGCATGGAATATACTAAGTCATTCCTACGTTTATCCTTTGCTGTTGTTTGAACCCATTAACGCTGATGAAGCCCTACGGTATTTATTCCCATCGCAAATTATGACAATTGCAGGAGCCACGTTTGAGTTACAGTTGGGTTTTCCGGCCACCACAAACGGACTTCAAGAGGCCCTACCTAGCAGGGACAATAACAGCTTGTAAAGTTTACTGAATACAACTGTAAGTAATTGTTACTGATTGTGCGAAATGATGTTTAATGTAAAATGGTATGTTTTGTTCTTGGAATGGTTGGAAAGAAATTAACAGTAGCAAACTCCAGGTGCAAAGAATTTTAAACGGCTCACTGGTTTTAAACTGAACGTCATGCAGATTGAATAAAAAGAAAAATCCAAACCAGTTTATTTCAATTCCGATGATAGATACGATAGATTACCAATCTGTGTTGCAAAATACATCTGGCCAAACATATAATCCGCGATACCAACATCACTTTGAACTTAATCCGGTAAGTTATGTCATCTTACAATCGCAGTAATCTTCATCGGCCAAGTGCATTGATGCGCAGCATTAATTTTTCTTTTCTTTTGCAATTGCTACAAGCAAGACATTTTAACAGTTCTGTGTGTTAGTGACTTGTACTCTGACATTTTTTTAATGAGGTCTGTGGTGCTCTCATAAATGAGAAAACAAATTTGTGTTCTACTCAACTTCTTTCAACAGTTATCACAAAGTTTATCTAGCTGGTTTTAGTGAAACGATTTTGAACAATGTTTCAAAATATATATCGTGGTCTGTCTTCACCCTTCGAGAATCAAACTTGGTCAGATGACACAATCTCAGCGTGATCTTATATATGTATATTGAGGTGTCAGTTTATCGATTGGGTATTAAAACTCGCCCCAGTTTCCCACACAATCTCGGAGTGGCCTATTTGCCATCTGTATGATCAATAATTGAGTTGCATCCTCACTATTGAAGAACGGGAACACGCTGTCTTTGACGAATAGCAACAAGCACACTGACACAATTCTAACTAGCCGTGGTGACTGTTGACACATAAATTTGTAGGATGTCGATAGAATGATAGCTCTATAACTAATAAAAGCCTAGCTTATTTAGAGAAATGGGTTTTCTTTGTATCTGTGTGGTACAGAGAAACAGCAATATTAAAACCAATTCATATGTTCCGTTTTTCAGTTGACCATCTTTCGAGAGCCACTAGTTTTCTGAGCCTATCAGTATGTTCTGCATGTTTTCATTTACAATTTTCCTGTTTAATACAGTTCGTCTGAGAAGAGTGTTTAGAGAGACTCATCTGATAGTCTTAAACTTAAAGCAAATATTGTGCTAGATAAACTTTGTTTATCGTAGTTTAAAATTCCGGCGTTATCTCTGCGGTAGGAAATTATGTTATCCGAGTTATGTATAGAGTTACTGTACTAATGCGTGTTTCACTGATCCCGAGCCAAACATGTCGGTACTAATTAGTTTTTGTTTTGAGTGTAAACCAATTTCGGGGAATTTGGAGGGCATTTGCATGGTTTAATAAAGCCCATTGTTTCATCCCCAAAATTTTGTGGTATTTTAAGTGCTAGATAAACTTTGTTTATCGTAGTTTAAAATTCCGGCGTTATCTCTTCGGTAGGAAATTATGTTATCCGAGTTATGTATAGAGTTACTGTACTAATGCGTGTTTCACTGATCCCGAGTGTCAGTTTCATTTAGCGAGCATTTGCGAAAAATTGGAGCTGTAAGTTTTAGCTATCCTCCCCCGAGGGCATTTGCATGGTTTAATAAAGCCCATTGTTTTATCCCCAAAATTGTGTGGTATTTTAAAAGAGCATCTCGACTACGAAATAAAGCATTTATACCGATATAATTGGGATAGTACTGTTTATCTCTTATTTGGGTTAATCAGACTACAAGAAGAAAATTGAGAAGAAAAACAATTCCAATGTTTCGGTATTTTTAAACGCCTTTTTGGATGACGTAAATGCAAAATACAGTCGCGTGACAATTGACAAACTTGCCTTTGGTCTGAAGCATGGAAGCTTTGTTTCAAGTCAAGGCCTGTTTTTTTATCTCACTGATAAATAAATAGTCTAACCCCCTGTTTAATTAGTTCGTTTGAGAGCAAATTGGAGTCTGATGTGATGATAATTCAGCAATTTTGTGAGAAATCGATACAATGATAGCTTGATAACTAAAACAACCTACAATCGGCAACAAAATGAGTTGAGACACTTCGCCCAAAAGTAGGGTTTTTTACGATTTATGAACTTCAAAAGGAGGAAATATAGCTTTCCTCCCCCATCCCCTCCGTACAATGTTGGGCCCTTGTTCTAGCTACCTATAGAAACCAACAAACACCCCAACTTTGAATGGAGGGGACAGGGGAGGGGTGCGGATTCTTTCGCTCTCCGTAGTAAACCTATTTAAGTACAATGTCCCAACAATTTTGTCGCCGATTGTAGCTTACTTATATCTTTGTATTTGTCTGGTGCAGAGAAACATCGATATTCAACTCATTTGATATGCACGGTGTTTCAGTTGACTTGCCATTCGAGAGTGACTTGTTTTCATTTACAATTTTCATGTTTTAAAAAGTTCGTCTCAAGAGTGTAGTTAGAGAAACTGATATGATATGAATGATTCTTTATTTCAATAGGGTGCATGATTACAGTCGAGACTGTAGTCTCCCTTATGGCCCTATGAAACTGATAGTCTTAATGATAGTCTTAAATATGAACCCAATCTCAAAAGCTAGTCGACCACAAAACAAAGTGTTATCCCAAAACAACTGCAATAGCTTCCCTTATCTGACTGCAAGACATTTAGCAGAAAAACAATTGCAATATTTTCAGTATTTTAAACCACCCGTTTACATGACGTAAACGGAAATACAATAGAGGATTTACGGTACCTGAATCGCGTGATAATTACCGCTTTACGCTTGACAAACTTGCTTGCTTGCTTGACCCCCAAATTCTCAGACAGGGTGTAAACTGCAAAAAAATTTCAGAAATGATCATCCTGTTTTGATTCTAGGGAAGACGGTAAGGAAATTAAATGCGACCGATGAGTTTTACACTGATAAAATGCCAAATATAGCCCCTATTTTATTCAGTAATTTTTGTGGGATTTCGATGGAATGATAGTTTTATGTACAAAAACATACTGCCATCATTCGAGAGTGACTTGTTTACATCTACAATCTTCCTGTAATATACAGTTCGATCATCTCAGTAGCCTGAGTGCGTTTAGAGAAACTAAACTGCTAGTCTTAAATGCTTCTGTCCAATTTTAGTAAGAGCCAGTCGACTGCAAAGTAAAGTGTTTACATTGTCATTTTTCAATTTCCCATTCCCCATTCCCCATTCCCCATTCCCCATTTCCAATTTCCCATTCCCCATTCCTTATTATCCATTCCCCATTTCCCATTTTCCATTTCCCATTTCCCATTTCCCATTCGCCATTCCCCATTCCCCATT